TGTATATATATGTGTATATATATAGAGAGAGAATAGAATAGAATTAAACCTCTAATAAAAGGAGATCCTGCCATTTGCTACAATATGGATGAAACTGGAGGACATTATGCTAAATAAAATAAGTCAAACACAGAAAGAAAAATACTTCATAATGTCACTTATACATAGAATCTTTAAAAAAAAAGTATATAGACATAGATAATAAAACAGTGGTTACCAAGGGTGGGATGAGGGAGAATGGGGATATGTAGGTCAAAAAATACCAAGTTGTAGATATGTAGGATAAATAAGTCTAGAGATCTAATGTACAACCTGAGGGCAACAGCTAATAATATTATATTATACTTGGTATTTTTGCTAAGAGAGATTTTAGGTGCTCTTGCCACAAAAAAAGGTAACTATGTGAGATAATATGTTCATTTGCTTGACTATTGTAACCATTACACTATATATATATATATATATCAAAACATCATGTTGTACACCTTAAATATATATAATTTTTAAGAGGAAACAAAAAATATAACTGAATGTTTGTAGGGTGGTCAGAATGAAAGGAGGGAGACAGGCTAGGAGTTTATTACAATTAACCAAGGAGAAAACGATGGTGACTTTTACAGGGTGATAGAGATGGAGAAAGTGAGAAGTGGTTAGATTCTAGATATATTTTTAAATATATATAACTTTCCCATAAATAAGATATGGAATTTAAAAAACAAACAGATCAAAAATGACACAGAAATGTTTTGACCTGTGCAACTGGAAAAATGGAGGTAATGTTTACAGAGATGTGGAAGTCTAGGAGGAAAAGTCCTTGGAGAGGGGTGGGAATTCAGAACTTAGATTTTGGACATACGAAATTTAACATGCTTATAAAATATACAAGTAGAACTGTTAACCATACAGTTGAATATCTGTCTGAAATACAGGATGGAGGTCTGGTCTATACATATTAATTTGATACTCATTAGTATAATAATGCTCTTTAAAACCCATGAGACTTGATGCTATTACACGAGGCGTTAATGAGGATTCAAAAGAGGAGAAATTTGAGGACTGGGTCCTAAAGCATCCAAATTTTAGAGGTTAGGGAAACAGCGAAGAACTAGCAAAAAAGACTCCATGAGGCAGGAGAATAAGTGAATAAGTGTTCAGGAAGTAAAAATATGTTTCAGGACAGAGCGATTAATTTGATTTAATGCTGACGTCAGGTAAGATAAGGACTGATTTGACCCCTCTTATATATAGAGATTCCTGGTGATATTATCAGTAGCTGGTTTGGGATGTGGAGGATAGAGGCCTGTTTGGAGCAGGCATAGGGAATAAATAGGAACATAGATACTGAAGACAGTGAAAATAAACTCCTTCTTTATGCCTTAAATTCTATATTGTAATGGCAATACCAACTCTTTTCTATTAGGATCATTCTTTTATATGATTTCCCATCCTTTACTTTCTAATATTTCCATATGTTATGACATATAACTAGCATAGAGTGAATTTTTTAAGCCCAATTAATTTTAAGATTAAAATTATCTTTTAATTTGAACATTAATCTATTCAACATTTCCTGTCATAGCAATATATTGGGTCAAATTGTATCTTTTTTAAATTTTTGCTTTATTTTTATACTTTTCTGTTCATATATTTAAAAACTAGAGATTACAGCACACAAATAAAAATTAATAGATTTATATATAAATTTTAAAATACAGTTGATACACACTCATACCAACCAACTAGACCAATACATAAATTCCAGACGCTAGCAAACACATATGCAGACCTTCCAGATGGGATTCCCCCACCCTCAGGAGTAAATTAATATATTAAATTTTTATATTAATAATTCTCCTTGCTTATATTCATGGCTCCTATGTGCTATGCATATATCCATGAATTTTATACTTTATGTAATAGCATTACATTGAATGAACTTCTTTGTTCTAGCTTATTTTATACATCCTATTTTTTTATTTTTTATTTTTGTTATTTTTTCCTATATTTTTAGATTAACACATTTCGTCACGTATAACGTTAGTTCTTTCATTTTCCATTGCTGCCTATTTTTCCTATGTATGAATACACCACATCTTATAACACATTCTACTATAACTGTGCATTTTTTAGTTTTCAATTGCTTTTTTCTATTATGAACAATGATACTGCAAATATTCTCTTAGTAAACATCTGCAACAGTATGCCCAGGCTGTTCTCAAACTCCTGGGCTCAAGTGATCCTCCTGCCTTGGCCTCCCAAAGTGTTGGGATTTTAGGCATGAGTCACAACGGCCTGCCACAGTATCTCTTGAATGAAACTGCTAGGTTATAATATGGTGTATCACTATGGTTTTAATTGGAAAACCTCAATAAAAATAGCAGCTTTTCATATTTATTGGCCATTTGGTTTTCCCAAATATGAAACTGATGTTCATGTTTCATTTACTACTTTTTCTGTTAATGTTTGCCATTTTTCACATTAATTTTTAAGGTTTTAGATTTATATGATATTAATTCTTTGTTAATGTCATGCAATGCCAAATTTATCTCCTTATTTGCTATTTGTATGCTTTCTATGATGTGCAAAGGAACATACATTCTCAATTTTAAAGTATTCAAATTTAACAAGACAAAAAATCCAGCAATTTAACTGAACATCCCTAGTGGGACACACAAAGAACCTTAAAGAAAGCTTTAAAGTATGAAGTTTTTAAAAGTTTAAAGTTTAAAGAACTCTAAAAGAAGTTACCTTTCAGTATTTATAATATTGTTATTTAATGTTATTGTTATTCTGGAACTATTATATCATAGGATTAGCAAATAAATAATTATGTTACTGTGGTTAGGAAGAAAGATTTTTTATATGTAAGTAAAAAGCAATACAACTACAAAATCAAAGAAGTTAAAATTAAAACCTATAATCTTAAATTTAGACAGAAAATATCAACATGAATACATAATATATTTTTCTCTTTAAAAAATTCCCTAGCTCTTTCTATTCAAAAAGCCTAGAAACAAGGACCAACTCAGCAGCAGGTCTGGTACTGACAAAGCTCAACCTTGTGTGGGGGCTCAACCTTGTGTGGGGTGGGAAACATTAAAGTTAACAGTCCAACTCCATTATTACTGAGCAAGAAAATGAAAGGTGGCTTTAGAGCTAACAGTCAATAAACTGATAACTGGCACAGGTATCAATAATAATAATAACTATAATAGAGTGAAACCCATCTCATGTATTTATGAGTTCACAGTGATCATTTAAAAACAAACAAACAAAAACTTCATTAGTCACCAGCAAAGAATGTTAAGGAACCAGCTAGTACTTTGAAACTAGCAAACAAAAGGAAATAATTCAGCACTGACTCAGTTTCCTGTAAGAACTCTATCTCAGAATAAATAAATATTCTGAGGAAAGTTCTCTTTATAAAAGTATTCTACCTATTAAGGTAAGATGTAATGATTAAAAATAGAATCATCACTATTTTGCAACCCCTAGTAAAATAAAAGCTTCACTCACTGATCATCAATGACCGCTAACATTACAAAAAGAGACAATACAGCATTATGTATCTCCTAACAGTATTCAATACTACATATGACATATGCTTACAGAGATTTGAGTCTTAATCTAATCAAGCCTCTATGCTGAACTAACAGTCATAGATAACTCAGGACTAGAAAACAGGTTAAATGAAACCATGGGGATATAATCAGCAAAATTCAGAATGTGAGAAATTCTACAGGACAAACAACCCAGTTTCTTAAATACCAAATTGCAAGGACCAATAAATTATAAGGCAAAAAACAGTAGAAACCTGTAGACTAAAAAAGACATATCAATCTATTGCAATCTATTTGAAGAAACTGGAAAAAAAAAAGTGATGAATGAGGAAATTTGAACACTAACTAGGTATTTCACATTAAGGAATTACTGTTAATTTTAGAAATAATGTCCTGCTAATTTATGTGTTAAAGGATATAGCCCTTATCTTTTTAAAGACACATACGGAAATATTTAGGGATAAAAAAATATGAATCATATGATTGAGAATTTGTTTCAAAATAATCCAGAGGGAAGTATAGGAGTGACTGGAGTCAAGACAAAACAAAATTGGGTATGAGTGATTAAGTATAACAGGAAGATGGGAGTTTTATTATAAAATTCACTCTATCTTTGTATATGTGTGACTTTTTTTTTTCTTTTTTTTTTTTTTTGAGACAGAGTCTCCCTGTCGCCCAGGCTGGAGTGCAGTGGCCGGATCTCCGCTCACTGCAAGCTCCGCCTCCCGGGTTCACGCCATTCTCCTGCCTCAGCCTCCCCAGCGCCTGGGACTACAGGCGCTGCCACCTCGCCCGGCTAGTGTTTTTTTTGTTTGTTTGTTTTTTGTTTTTGTATTTTTAGTAGAGACGGGGTTTCAGCGTGTTAGCCAGGATGGTCTCGATCTCCTGACCTCGTGATCCACCCGTCTCGGCCTTCCAAAGTGCTGGGATTACAGGCTTGAGCCACCGCGCTCGGCCATGTGTGACTTTTTATAAATCTTTTTTTTAACCACCTTCGGGAAAAGACTATAACGAAATCAGTTATACTTGTCTGAAATGTCAGATTCAATTTATGGATCTCCCAATGTATTTATTTACACTGTCGCACACAGCTAAGACTTTAAAACAAAAGAATGACTCTATTGCATTCTTAGGATCAGTGAGTCAGTGAAAAATTTTATTTTTGGAAGAGAAACATTCCCAGCAATCTTAAAATCACATCAGATACATAAAGAACCAACAAATTCTGCCTACTTCTAAGTAAGCCTCTGGCTTTGAGCATAACCTGGTGTGATCATAGAAGTTCACAAAAGGATAAATGTTGAGTTTTAAAATTCTAGCATTTTACCATTTACCTAATGATTTTCCACAAAGAAAGAAAAAAAAAGGAGTAATTTTTAAAAACAATTCAGAACTGCTTTAATACTATTCAGACACTTACACAAAAGCAGATTTACATACCTTGCCTGGACTGTGAAGGTGCTACAGGAACTTCTTGGTTTGGCTCAAAAGGAAGTTCAGGTGTTAGGTTTTCAAACTGCTCTTTACTAATGAGATTTAGCTTCTTAAAGTTCTCAACTTCTTGCTGAAGTAGAATGGAGGAATCTAATTACTAAACTGGCTAACAGAGTAACCAACAGACAATAATTGATACCAACCTCAAAAAAATGAACTTCTAAAACAGGGATTAATCACAATGGAGTGAAAAAGATGTTCTAATAAAGAATCTAGCATTAAACTTAATAACAACATTTAGAATCTAAGAAGCATATAAAACCCTAAAATATTATGATGATTTTGTAATTAAAAAACATGAGCACACAAACTAATCATTAATTATTTGTTGAGCATGTACATACAAGCTACCAGGTATTACAGAAGTTACAAAGTAATCTAATACAGGTTCCCTACCATTAAGGAATTTATATGTTAGATGAAAAGGAAGAAATGAACACATAAAAATGAATAATATTAGGCAGTGCGTGAAAAGTGATATTGGTATAAAAATTAAGATCATCAGGAAGCCATCACAGAAGAGATGGGACAAAAGCAGCTCTTGAAGGATGAGAATTTAGAGAAAGGGAGAAGCATTCTAAATAGGTAATGTGAGCAAAGATAAGACGCTTAGAAAAAGCAATGTGTTTATTAGAAAGTAATTACGTGAATGAGAATATCTGTGTAGAACCAGTGGCAAAGAGGCCTGAGGCGGAAGTCGGAGAAAGCTACTAGAAGACCTTTAATACTGGGTCAAGAAGATTTCACTTTGTTTTATAATAATGGATGCATGTGATAAAGATAAATCTGGATGGCCCTGGATAGCTGCAGCGAAGAGACTCAGTAGGTTTGAGTTGTTAGCTCAAAGGAAGAATAGACCCCTCTCTGACTCTGTTGTTAGCTCAAAGGAAGAATAGACCCCGCTCTGACTCTGGGGTTCTGGAGGCTTCCCCTTTGTAACTATTATTACATAGTCACTTAGTTGTTTCCATCCCTGCCCTACAAATGTGTGGAGCATTACAGAGGGTAGAGGTCATTCTCTACTGGAAGTTCACTTTGCCACAGGTGCATAAAGACCCTCTATGTCTGGCCTAAACTGTAAGAGAAAAAAGGAGTTTGAGGGACTGCTTACACTCTACTATTTCTTCTAAGTTTTTCCCAATAAAACCCTATATCACATCTATGCCACATGGTACTAATGGGTACATGAATCTTTACAGGGCAACATCCAAAGAGGGTTTAAGCAAGTAAAAAACATAACAAAGAATTTGTCAGATTGAAGCAAATTTAAAATAGGAAGCAAATTAAATATCATTACAAGTAGTAGCTTGCTCTTAATAACAAAAGAATCTTTTCCTTCTGTCTTCAAAGATGAAGTCACTTGTCAGCTCAAACCATTTATTAAATCCCAGTGTTAGCCTTTTAGATTATGATCTTTTTATCACTAAAGTATCTTTATGTCAAAATGTATATTTATCAACATTTCTTCCTCAAAAGTTTTCAATAAGCTCTTCAGGCTAAATCAGAATCATCGCTCACTCCTCTTGTCCCTTATCTTGCTACAGAGCTTGCTATTAGCAACTCTCAATTCTGTAAATAATTATTGTATGTTTACTACATGCCAGAGATAAATAACACAATTCTACCCTGATGGAAACACAAGTTGTATATGTTTTAGTTTAGTTTTTATTTTTAACTAATTCATTAATGTATTACACACACACACACACACACATACATGAGAAGTGTACAAATCATAAGTATACATCTCAATGAATAATCAAAGGTAAACAGACTTAAGTAATCACCATTCAGGTAAAGCAATTACTAGCACCCTAGAAGCTTCCTTTTCATGTCCCTTCTGGTCAGGATCTCCTCTTTCTCCCCCCAGATAGCTCATACACTGACTTCAATACAATAGGTGTTTTGCATGTTTCTGAACTTTATAAAAATTGAATTATACCGTATGGTTTCTTTCATGCAAAATTATGTTTAGGAGATTGATCCATGTACATGCGTGTAATCACAGTTTGTGGCTCTACAGCAGAGGTCAGCAAACTACAGGCCCAAAGGCTAAAGTCTGTTTTTATAAATGGCTGTTTTAGAACATAACCACACCCATTTGTTTACATATTGCCTATGACTACTTCATTGCTACAACTGCAGAGTTAGGTGGATAACGTATGACCACTGACAACGTATGACCCACAAAGTCTAAGGTATTTACCATACAGCTCTGTACAGAAAATGTCTGTCTACCCTTACTCTATTCTACCATATGAATACACTGCAATTTTTAAAGAAATCCATTCTGCTATTGATGAGCATTTGGGTCCTTTCTCAGATTACAGCTATTACAAATGAATTCCTATAAATACGTTTTTACAAAAACTTCTTTTGGTGAACAGTAACACAAATTTTTGTTGGATATTTACTTAGGAGTGGAATTGCTGAATTGAGCAGGTTTTTATTTAGCCTTAGTAGAAAATGCCAGTTTTTCACAGTGGCTGTACCTATTTATTTCCCCATTAGCAGTATATTAAAGTTCCTGTTGATCTACTTCTGCACCAATGCTTGGTATTTTCAGTCTCAAAATTTAGCCATTTGAACAAGAATGAACCCTAATGTAAACTATAAACTTTTAGTGAGAATGACGCATCTAGGTAGGTTCATCAATTGCAACAAATGTACCACTGTGGTAGGGGAGGTTGACAATACTGGAGGCTATGCTTGCGTGGGGGAAGAAGATCTATGGAAGATCTATCTTCTGCTCAATTTTGCAATGAATATAAAACTGTTCTAAGAAATGTGTGATTCCATCATGTAACATTCTCAAAATGACAAAATTATAGAGATGAAGAACAGATTCGTGGTTGCCAGGGGTTAGGGATAGTGGAGGTGAGACAGGTGAGTGAGACTCTAAAGACTCTAAACTTTAGAGAGCACAGGGAGAATTTTGTGGTAATAATACAGTTCAGTGTCTTGACTGTGCTGGTAGTTATACGAATCTACAGGTGATAAAATGGCACAAAACTATACACATACATTTGTGATAAGAAATGTCTATTTTCTGGTTTTAATATTATACAATGTATTTCCCTTTTTTCCCCTCCTAGAGACAGGGTCTTGCTCTGTTGCCCAGACTGGAACACAGTGGTACGACCACAGCTCACTGTAGCCTTGAACTCCTGCGCCCAGTTGATCTTTCTGCCTCAACCTGTAGCTGGCACTACAGGTGCATGCCACCATGACAGGCTATTTTTTTTTTTTTTTTTTTAAGAGATGGAGTCTCACTATGTTGCCCACACTGGTCTCGAACTCCTGGCCTCAAGCAATCCACCTGCCTCAGCCTCCAGAACAGCTGGAATTACAGGCATGAGCCACCTTGCCCAGCATTGTGCTATAGTTATATAAGATGTATATATAGTTATACAAGATGTGATATTTGAAGGGAAGTGAGGGTATACAGTACCTCTGTGTACAATTTTTGCAACTTCCTGTGAATCTATAAATATCTCAAAATAAAAATTCAGAAAAAGTTTTTAATGTAGTCATCCTGGTAGGTATACGTGTTATCTCACTGTAGCTTTAATTTGCATCTCTCTGATTACTAATGAGGCTGAAAACCTTGAGTATATTTGCTGATTTGGATAGCTTCCTTTGTTGAGGTGACTATTCAATACTATTGCTCATTTTTCTATAGGGTTGTCTTTCTCTTATTGATTTGTAAGAGTTCTTTATAAAATGTTGTAAATACCTTTTGACACTTTTTAACTTGCCTTTTTATTCTCTTATAGTATCTTGATGAAAAGAAGTCCTTTAATGTAGTACAATTTATCAATCACTTCCTTCACTGTGTTTCCTGTTCAATAAATCTTCCCCAATCAAATATTACTGAGTTATTATTTCTATAAGTTTTATTATTTTGTGTTTCACATTCAGAACTATAATCCAATTGGAATTGACTTTTCTAAACTGCATCCACATTTTCTATACCTTTACTGATTTTTTGGTTCTGATTGCTCCATCTTACACCTTTCTTTATAAAATCTCCCACTATGATTATGAATGCACCTATTTGCCTGTAAATTTTATGTATTTTGAAGCTACATTATTAGAGGCACACAAATTTAGAACTATCATATCTTCTGAGGCAATGAAACTTGTCATGATTATAAAACATCCATCTTTATATCTTGAATAAGTTTTGCCTTAAAAACCTACTTTGCCTGGTACAGTAAATAGAGTTACACCAGCTTTGTTGTGTTTATTGCCAATATTTATCTAAATATACACACATATTTACCCTTCCCATTGCTCTTCATTTCTTCCTGCATCTCCAAGCTTCTTTCTGGAATCATTTTCCTCTGCCTGAAAAATTCCCTTTAGTATTTTCTTTAAAGCAGATCTGCTGAAAATAAATTTTCATAGTTTTCATGTCTCTGACAATATCTCTATTTTACCTTCATTTTTATACAGGTTTATTTAGAGCTTTATTTTACACCTCATAAATTCACCTATTTAAGCGTACAATTCAATTATCTGTTTACCTTTATTCTTGAACACTATTTTCCCTTACAGGCACTGTAACTACATCATCCCCTTGTTCCCTCACCTCCATTATTTCTACTGAGAAGTTAGCTGTAAGTCTTACTATTAACGCTTGTAAAGTAATCTGTCCTTTTTATCCAGCTTTTATTTGTTTTCAGTTGTTTTATATGGATGGTCTCGATGAGGTTTTCTTTGTATTTATCTTCTTTGAAGTTTTTAGGACTAGAATCTGTCCTTTGGTGTCTTTCATCAGTTTTGGAAAATTCCTACCCATAATCTCTTCAAATATTACTTATGCTTTATTCTCTCTCCTCCCCCTTTGGAGGATTCAAAGATATGTGTTGGACTATGTCTCTTACACCCTTTTCTGTATTTTCCATCTTTTTGCTCAATGCTTCACTCTGGATTTTTCTTTCGATCCATCTTCTAGTTTAATAATTATCTTTTCACTGTCCTGATCTACTATTAAGCCTACCCATTGCACTTATCATATTTTGCAGTTCTAAAATTTCCACTTGATTATTTTTTAAAGTTTCTGAC